CAAGTGACAACATAAATCACAAATGCATCATCGTCATTTTCCACATTATACACATACTTGAATAACATATTGATAATATCAAGTCATCATAATCTTTCTCATCAACATCACCTTTCATATCATGCACATACTTATATATCATGCACATCAATATAATCAAGTTATCATCATATGCATATAAATACATCATGCAAATATTATGGATAAAATACTTTTGTAATGATCATGTATATATCCCATAAAAATCGCATAATGTACTCATCTTGAATCGTTAACGTTCGATAGGTCGTTCTCTCAAAAAAGGGCAACCTACATGATAATTTTGACCATTCCTAAGCATCTTAAATAATCGTAATTAAATTGATTACTATTCCTTAACAATCTTAACGCGACTTTTCTTTTTTGTTGATCAACCCCCGATAACATCATATCTCATGTTTCACTCCAATATTTTCTTGAAATATTATTAATAATGTAACGTTGTTATAATATTAATTGTTGCTCGTTCATTTTATAAAAATAAGCAATATACTTCACATTTTATTGAACAATAAGTATTTTACCAAAATAACTAAACTAAATAGTTCACAACGTAAATAATACTCGAAAAAATGTTTCGAATACCAATTTTCTAAGTCTAGGGGCATTTTGATAAATCTTAAGAAGTCGAATACCAAAGATATAGCTTTAACCAATTCCCTAATTTAGAACATTCTTGGTATATTTCATACGTCGAATATTAAAACTATGCTTAAAAGTCCAATCCCAAAGCGTAGGGGCATTTTGGTAATTTTTATTAAGCAATACTCAAAGTATTGTTAAAATACCGATTCCCTAATTGTGAGGTCATTTTGGTAATTTCACAAGGATAATAATCAAAATAAAACATAGATACCAATTCCCAGTACATAGGGTCATTTCGGTAATTTATAGGGCGAATACGTAAAGTATCGCTAAAATACCGATTTCCAAGCTGTAGGGTCATTTTGATAATTTTATAGGGATTATATTCAAAATAACACTTAGATACCAAATCCCAATACATAGGATCATTTCGGTAATTTTTAAAGCAAATACGTAAAGTATCGCTAAAATACCGATTTCCAAATTGTAAGGCAATTTTGGTAATTTCATAGGGATTAAATTTAAAATAACACTTAGATACATATTCTCAAGACCTTGGGTCATTTCGGTAATTTTATAAATCAAATACATAAAATATTGCTAAAATACCGATTTCCAAATATAAGGTCGTTTTGGTAATTTTATAAAAATAATAATATAAAAATGAAGCTCATAAACCAATCCCCAAGATATATGGTTATTTCGGTAAATTTTGTAAGCAAATACGCAAAGTATTGCTAAAATACCGATTTCTCATTTATAGGGTCATTTTGGTAACTAAACGAGATAAATAATCGAAATTGGGTCAAAGTTTGCATTTTAGAAAATACAAATAAACTTGATGAAAGTTTCATAAAATTTTATAGAGAAAATTATATTTCTGAAACTGCAGGGGTTAAATGATAATTTCTAAAACTCAAATATATAATGCATATTAAGAATAACAATGAGTAAAAATAACATAAACTCATAGTTAATCAACTGGTTATCGCATGAAGCTACAAGGATGAGGTCGCGGGTCCGAACCCCGCCCTCAGCACGTTCCCTTAATTCTTTTTTTAAAAGGGGTAAACAGACGCGGGTTGACCCGATGGCCGACCCGCCTCTCGACCCAGCTCTCGACCCGTCGCACAAGGCAGCCATGGCTGCACTAATTTTACATTTTTGAGCTTGAAAATGGCTCGTTTCTTGACCTTTTTTCTTCATTCTTTTTGCATCAAACTCTTGGTAATATTTTTACCAACACTTTGACACTTTGAAATATTCCAATTATTTTAAAATCAAGTTATTTTAACTAATTTTATTCCATACAAAGACATTCTACGAACCAAACGCCACCTTAGTCTATGCTCTATTTTTCCATGTTATGATGTTTTGATTTTGGTATCCACTTTCTTAAAAATGCAGTTTTAAGAATCTCCGTTTTTTCTTAAAACTTCTCTTAAATTGAAACAAGAGAGTTGAACATTAATGAGTATTTTATCCTGTTTTTCTTCCTTCTCTTATCCATCTCGTCTAAGTTCGATTTGAATTGTTGGTCATTGATTATGTTTAATAAGAGAGTTGAACATTAATGAGTATTTTATCCTGTTCAATGTGTTTATGGCCTTTTTTTCATACCACATTTTTAGGGGCCGTTTACCAAACACTTACCCGGTAAGCACTTATCGGTTAAGTTCAATACTAATATTTACTTACCGGGTAAGATTTTAGTCAACAAATTCGGTTTTCTATGCAACAATTTACCCTGTAAGAGTCGACCGTGGTAAGAGTCATTGTCCTCACTTACCGGGTAAGATTCTCAGTCATTGCCTCGTTTTTACCGGGTATGATTTTTGGTACTTACCATATTCATCCGGTAAGGTAATATAACTTGGTAAGCGTTTACCCAAGTAAACATTTAATAAACGGGCCCTTAGTCAACATTTTTGGTTCTATAATCAGAAACTAGCAATGACTATGAGAGCATACAATTAAGGGGAAAAGGATAACACTTAGGATCACACTTATGAATCCATGTTTATCTTGGTTTTGTTGTGTGCAGGGTTGCAACACAACAAAAGGAAGACAACTGAATCAGTTCCATGGTCCACCAAGACCTATCTCATATGCAGTCATCTATACGTATACGTATACCTAAGGGAACTGGGTCCAAGATTTTGTTTTTTGGGGGTGAAACGTATTCGGAACCAGCCTCGATTTTGTTGGTCATGAGTATTCCCGCTAGCAAGTCATTATTTACTAGAACTTGAGATAATGTAGCTTAATTATTTGAGTTTCTTTTGTTGTTGAACTTGATTGTAAGTGTAATTAACCTTTTAGAGAAATTAGCAATAAGCTACTTGAGACCATATTGGCTGTGGTATTAGACCTTATTGAATATGATATTAGTATATTTGGAGGTCGTGAGTGAGGTGGTTGTACAAAAATGTATATTAAGTTCCCAATCGAAGTCTCAAATTGATACTTGTACACGAATACGGTAGTTTGATGTTTGATAACTTAATTTTTCAATTTATATTTTGTAGCTAAAAAGCTTTGATGATCTATGAGATAATGAGAGACTTAATTGTCTACATATTTGTATGATTATAAATGATTAGTGTAATTTTTGTTTTTTTTTCAAACATAAATTTTAAATTTTCAGGTAACATGAAAATCCATTTTTATATGGATTTCATTCACAAAAAACTAGGAACAATTGTTATGGGTTTGAAAATCGTGTAATTTTGTGATTCTCTTTTTAGATATGTGGTAAATTAACCATACTAACCTTAAATTTATGCATATACTATTTGATTTATCTATTTTTATACTATATTATAAAACATTTAATAAAAACTCTTAAAAACTATTCTTTATATATAAAGTACTGTGTATTATTGCATATTACTTAAAGTCTAATATTACAAGTAAATTGTGCGTAAGTACAATTTTATTAAAACTTCATTTTTGAATTCATATAACTAACTACAGATAAACATAATCATAAATACATAATAAACATCTCATTTTAAATATAAAAAATCAAAAATATAATTAGGATAATCATTGAGTTCTAACAGAATCATTATCTTTATAAAATTTTATTATTAAGCCAAAAATAAATTACTTCACTAAATCATAAAAACATTATTTTTCTCAAAACCATATAAATCGTATTATATCAACAAAAACAAAAAATAAAATAAAAGATTAAAATGAAGATATATTTCGTTGTATTGTGCGAATACCCTTCTAGTATATTATAAAACATTTGACAAAAACTTTTAAAACCATTTTATATGCATGAAGTACAGTTTATTGATGCATATTACTTAAAATTCAAGATTACAAATAAATTTTTGTGTAAGTACAACTTATTTAATCTTCATATTTGAAATCGTGTAACTAACTACAGATAAACATAATCAAATAGAGGATAAACATCTCATTTTAAATATAAAAATCTAAATATAATTAAAATAATCATTGAGTTCTGATAAAATACTTAATTATTATCTTTATAAAAAATTATATTATTAAACCAAAAATAAAGAACGAATTAAAAAAATATTAAAAAAGGATAAATTTTAAATAGTTAGTTTTTTTTTTTTTTTGATTAACCTGGATATTATGCAAGCCGACTAATCCTAAGGCGATCACCTGCTTTGCAGGTAGCCCGGAGTCACCGCATTTGAACCTCCGTGGCCACAATGAGATTTTGTTCCTCTTTGGATTTGAACCTGGGACCTTCCGACACTTTTGACATTTGAAGTCAAGCTCAAACCAATTAGGCACCATCATTGTGGTTTTTAAATAGGTAGTTTTGTACTAATATCTTTTTTCTTTTCAAAATTTTATGATATATTCATATTTATATTTTATTCAAAAATAAAAACATTATTGTTTTTTTCCAAAACCATGTAAAGCCGTATTATAACATTGACTGAGACAAAAACAAATAAAACAAAACATCAAATCGAGATGTATCTCGCTACATTATGCAAGTACCTTTCTAATAATTTAAAAATACCCAAAACTGTAAAAAATAAAATCGAGAGATGCATTAGGTAACAAGAATGCTTGAGGCTTTGAGTTCTTGAATTTGAATCGAAATGCACCGCACAGTATCATGTGGGTATACAATTAGTAAAAAAAGGAAAGTAAAACGACTAAAAAGAACTAATTAAACATTCTTTTTTTGTAATAAAAGTTATAATAAATTTTATAATCCCGTTATATTACACAGATACACAACTAATGATCGAAAAACATCCTATAAACCTATTGTAACATTTTTAGATAAGACGCTTTATAATATGGTCAACATTACACCGATTCACAACTAATGGTCGAGACCGAATGACTCTATGAAATTACGTTGATAAACAATATCACTAAAAATTAAAATTCTATTAAATTTTTAAAAACCATACGTTCATTGAAAATAGGTTGAAGTTTGTTCAACCACTTTCAAACCATTAACATCAAACAGCTTCATTCCCACTCCAACTGGTCTTCACTTTTGGACCTGTTGGTCCATCTTCACCCAACATCTCCTTTGGAACACCCCCCACAAATCTCTCAAATGCCTTCTTTAATTTCCCTATCATCACCCTCTTCACTTTCTTCATCTCTTTATCTACATCATAATCGATTTTAGGGCCCCATTTTCTCTCGTAATTCAACCACGGTGGCTCGACCACCGCCGACCCCAGATACTCTGCCGCAACAACCACCGCGTGCAATCCCGTATCCATCACCTTAGAGCTCTTAGCCGTGTCGTCTCGCACTCCAATATCCCCCCCTCCTGACCCCAACAGAACGCAGCCCGGTTTCGGGTATGATGCGTGGCCGTGTAATGATGCGTAAACCGCCGGTTTATTACCGGTGTGGAACTCGAGATTTGAAACGCTCACCCATTTGCCCCAACTGTGTTGCGAAAAGAAAACACTGTGTAATGCACCATTAAAATTACTAACTCTTAAAGTCACATGCTCCCAATCACCTACATGTTCACCCAACTTTCCCAAATCGATGTTGAGGAATTCCACTTTTGCCCTTGACCCACCATTAAAAGGGTAAAATACCCAAATGGCAATATCGGTAAATAACCCTCCAGATACGGGTTTAACATGGAAATAACCACATGCATCTTCTAAATCCCCTTTCTTGATTCTATCTTTGCTTGAACCATCGGCTGGAAGGTCTAGCCAATATGTGTCATCGTTCGAGCCACCTTGTGGGAGGTTCGAGCCATGGATCTCGATTGGTTTGGGTTTGGACTCTACCCCTTTTTGATAAACCAAAGCACCATTTTGGAAAAACCAATCTACTGAAGAGGGAAGGTAAGGTTCATTAGGATGAAAGTAAATCACTGGAGCATACGCTTGAATCAATGCTTCGATCTGGTTCAAATTCGGCATGGAGTTCGATAAATTGCCATTCGAATTCTTCAAACAAGATGGTCTCGATGCGTCGTTGCCCACACTTGGATCTCCAACCACAAAACCAGCCATGGAAGCATACACATTCAAACCATCGAGATCGAGATCATTACCGGAGCCCCACACCCACATACCCGTTTCCAAATCCGTCATGTTCATCGTGTCGGTTAGGTCTTCACGGACACAACGAACCTTATCGAGCGGTGGCTTCGCAGACGAGCCACCAACCACAAACCCGACCGGTTTGTAGCCGTCAGGTGGAACTGGGACCCAAATGTAACCTTCACCATCTTTCTTGATGTCTACAGACTCACTACTCCAAACAAGAGTGTAGTCAATTGGCGATCTGAGAGTGGGTTTTGAAGGGTCATTTGATACATCTTTTCCCACCAGAATATGGCCAAAAAATGGGATGTTGTTTGGGTGGGCATAAGAGCCTAAACTGTGAAACCCCTGTGGGATTGCAACAGGATCATAAAATGTTGCCCCAACATTATCTGATCCTCCTTCATTTGTTGCCCACATTTTCTTGAATGTTGTTACTTGACTCACTTCTAATCCTCCCAAATCAATGGCTCCAGCTGCAAACCCTCCACCTAAAATTAAAAAAGAACAAATCTTGTATCATTCATGAGACGAACCAGAAGGTGTGCCAATGGAGAACCAAGTGATATCAGCATTGGATTTACACAGATTCAAATGGGATATGAAGAAAATAAGGAGAAACAGTAGGTACGTACCTGAAGGCCATTTGGGTAAAGGAGATGGAAGTCGGAAGTTGGTTTCAATGGTGTCATCTGAATCCGCCATTGTTGGTCCATTGAAGCAGATAAAGAAAAAGAGAAAGAAGAAAATGGTAGTGATTGATGACTGCATCTTCAACGAAACAGATTTGGTGAACAAGAAGTGATGCCTTTTGTCAATGATACTTATTGGAGGAGACAAATACCAAAGACGAAAAGGTGTATTGGCTTTTTATCAACTAATTTTATATACATATAATTGTTTTTATTCAAAGAGTTATTTCAACAATTTACAATTTAAATTGGTATTTTAGTTATTTCTCTTTCGATTTATCCAAATATTACTATGTCCGTAACATATAATTTGTAATATATACCGTTGTAATTACAAATATGGTCTTCACAATTGCATACCTGGAATGAATCTGATAATTTTTTTCTGTATTTTAACCAGGTCCGTGATTAGGGGTGTTCAAAAACACGACCAATCCAATCAACCCAACTCAACCCGAAGCGGAATAACCCAACTCGAAGCAACCCGATATCTAATCGAATTGTAAAATTGTCAAACCGTATGTATTGGATTGATATTGGGTTACTATTATTTGAACTCAACCCAACCCGATGAACCCKATATCCTTTTATTTCTTGGATTTAATATGATTGTTGAATTTCTAGTAATATATACATTACACAATTAAACTATCATGTATGCTTTTCATATACACATTTTCAATCTATTCATATCTCTATATAACTCATTCATATATATATATATATATATATATATATATATATTCAGTAACTATGAACATATATATGTAAATTAAGAAAATTAACTGAATGCGATATGCATAAGAAATATAAATAAGTTGTATCAAATGGTTGTTGATGAAAAAGAAATTATGAGTAGAAAAATAACATATTCAAGGTTAGAAGAATATTTTAATATACCAAAGTATCAATCCGACCAACCCGTACGAGTTAGGTTGGGTTGCACTTTGGTTTGGGTTAAGATTTTTCCAAATTACAAATATTAAATTAAGTTGTTTAAATATTTTCAACCCGAACAACTTAACCCATAAACATCATCTCTGTTCGTGATAACATTTGAGTAGATTTTGGATGGGAAAAAGCAATATTTAGCGGTGGGGTAGCAAAATGTCAGAAAGAAACCATATTCTGTGTTGCTTTAGCTTTTCTTTGTTCAGGATAGCACCTACTGTTGTTTGCTTAATCCATGGAGATGCACGTGAACATCGCATTCAATACTAACAATATTTTTTGGTGATTTTGGTCCCTGTAATTTATACAAAACTACAAAAAAGGCCCACTAAACTTTAATAACTACATTAATAGTTTATATTCAAAAAATTCGTAGACAATATCATCAAAAGTAAGAAATTATCTATATTATATTATAAAATATTTAACTAAAACTTTTAAAAATTTATTTTTTATATATGAAGTACTGTTTATTGATTCATATTATTTAAAATTAAAGATTACAAGTGGCTTTGTGTAAGTACAACTTATTAAAGCTTCATTTTCAAATTCGTGTAACTAACTGCAGATAAACATAATCAAATACATGATATACATCTATTTTAAATATAGAAAATCTAAAATATAATTAAGATAATTATTGAGTTTCTAACCGAATGTTTAATTATTATCTTTAATAAAAATTATATTATTAAATCAAAAATAAATTACTTTGTTATTAGGCCAAAATTAAATTATAATAAAAAATTAAAATTAAAAAAAGTTACACCAAAAAAAACGAGAACTATTAAATAGTTAATTTAATACTAATATCGATTTTTTTTATGTTATCTTCAAATTTATATTTAATTAAAAATAAAAAAACATTATCGCTATCTCAAAACCACATAAAATCGTATTATATCGATAGAGACAAATAACAAAAACTAAACATTAAAATGAAGATTTATCTCGTTGCATTGCGCGAGTACCCTTCTAGTATTTTACTAATATTCTTTACAAGTTTTTATCATTTAAAAACGAGTGATTACAACTTTATTTTTAATATTAATAAGTCCTTTTTTTTTACGGAGTGTATTAAATAATCATTCTGAAAATCATTACGAATTCAATTGTAAAGATGACTTCATAACAGATAAACACCCTCAATCCAGCAGATAGATAAATAAGAACTTGGAAGCATTTAGCAAAGCAGCAAATTATCTATTAAGACCATTTCTGAACCAGTTAAGACTTTTTTAACAAGTGGCTTGATTTGAAAACCAATGAGCCTTTTCTTTGTTTGCAGATTGATTTGGAGAAAACAATTCTGATTATGATGCAATGGGAGCAATTGTGTGTGATGTGTCAAGTGTCTTTGTGTCTGTGTTGCAACTTAGAGAAAATAAAAATCAAACACCACCCAATTTGTACACGACCAGGAACCGTAAACACCAAAACAGGGACGATGCAGAGAAACCGTAAACACTAAGTTGCGGTTATTTGCTATATTAAGTTATACTTTTAATTGGTTCATTTTGTATCCCTCCATGGCTGAGGCTGACCTCAATGGAAGTTCAATAATTATTTTTTAAGATTTGTACATTATGATGTAAAGGCACCCTGACCCTGTTCATGTGTATCCCATTGTCGCTAACCACGGCACCATTCCGTTCATTGATAAGGAAACAAATATGGGTTGGAAACAGTTGAGCAAACATATCGGGGTTCATCGATTAGGAAACCCATAGATCTCAGGAATGATGAACCCCGTTTAATATAAGAGATACAAGGAGATGGGTGGTTGGCGGTTATCGCAGATCGGAGGAAGGCAGAAGGAAGATGGGTAAGTTCACGACAAGGAGTAGCGACCAGAGAGGAGGAAAGGAATACTGATCTATGATAAGCAAGTGGATGCAGAGGCGGGGAATGGGAAGGAGATGATTAGCTTGGTGGAGGGTTCTCCATTTTGTGTACATGATACAGGGAAAAATCTAAAAAAATTTAACGGACTTTAATGTTTGGAATTATTAAGTTTTTAGACAATTTTTTGTAACAGATAAATCCTTAAACGTTTCAAAACATATTAAATAACTACTTGGATTTTCTAAAACATGTTATTTACATTCTTTATGACCTATAAAACTGGTTAATATAGTAAAATAATAGAAAATGTCTGAAAAAAAGCCAATGAACTTTCATATTTTGAATGATTAAGTTTCTGAACATTTTTTGAACCAAAAAAGTACTTACATCTATAAAACGAAATAAATATACCAAAAAATACTTATATTTACAAAAAAATACTTACATTTAAAAAAGATTATTGATGAAATTTATTTTATTTAAAAATAAAATATCTTATGTCAATGATTTTCCAAATTAAAAAGAATTTAAAAAGGATTACTGATTAAATTAAAAATAAAATACCACGATTTTCTCAAATTAAAGAAAGTTAAAATAATTAAAAAGAATTACTGTAAAATTTATTTTAATTAAAAATAAAATATATTTTATTGATGATTTTTTAAATTACAAAAGATAGAAAAAATTTGATTAAACTATTGACGGATTAACGATAAAATTTAACTAAATATATAATTAATCAAATTTCATCGTTAGTGTTCATTGGTATATATGTATGGATGACTATCTTGACCACCGTTAGGCGTTCAAAAACAGTAACATATTAATAAGTGTAAAAGATCGTGCTTAAATCTTTTTGATGATATCATTTCACTAACGGATTAATGACGAATTTTAATTAATTATGTATTTAGCTAAATTTTATCGTTAACCCGTGAGTAATCTAATCAAATTATTTTCTATTTTTTTTAATTTGAAAAATATCAACGGAATATATTTTATTTTTAATTAAAATAAATTTTATTAGTAATCTTTTTTAAATCTTTTTAATTTGAAAAATCACATACGGAATATATTTTATTTTTAATTAAAATAAATTTACTCAGTAATCTTTTTTAAATAATTTTTTATTTTATTTATAATTAAAATAAGTACTTTTTTGGTATATTTGTTTCATTTTATAGATGTAAGTAATTTTTTTGTTCAAAAAATGTTTAGGGACTTAATTGTTCAAAATATGAAAGTCCGTTGGGTTTTTTTAGACTTTTTTCATTATTTTACCACATTAACCAGTTATATAGGTCGTAAGGATATATCTAACAGGTTTTAGAGAGTCCAAAAAGTTATTTAGTAAATTTTGAAATGTCCAAGAACTTATTTGTTCCAAAAAATTATCAAAGAACTTAATCATTCTAAACAATAAAGTCCATTGAGTTTTTTAGACTTTTTCCTATAATAAATGTATATGACATATACATATTCTTATATATAATACTAGTTGTGTACCCGCGCAATGCGGCATGATGTAAAAGTTCATTAGAATTTATTCAATTTTGAAATATCAAATTCTTTCAAAATGTCGTAAAGCCTACAATATTTGTACTTACAATAGATTCAAATAACCATCTATGCGAAATGTTGGTGCTAGTCGCTTATACAATCATTCGTACAAAAACAAATCTTTTTATGTGTAATGTGTATAATAATAAGTCCCTTTGTAATTGTAGTTATAGGTGGAAAGAATATGATTCATTTTCCGCAAATCTTTTCTAAAGCAAGATATCCCAAAAAAAAAAGTTACAAGCGTGTGATGATTTAAATCATTTTTTTGGGTTTTGGGTCATTCATATTCCAAGTCAATTTTTATTTATAATGATTGAATATTAGATCACACATAACCTAATTTTACAAAATAAAAGTGTATCCAAAATATATTTATAGAACCAAGATAGTCATATCCAGTTACGAAAAACCTTTTCGTTGGAAAATATGTTTCAGCCCCAAGGCGTCCAATGTTTCTTTACAAAGTTTTCCCTTGGAATCAGACACCCTGCAAGGCAAAATATAGCATCATAACAATAACCTGAAGCTTGCTACTTTATATCATATACAACACACTTACTTCACCTCGTTTATAAAACTTGTGAGAAAAATCCCTTACATCGAGTCTAATCGGCCTAATTGAATCGAGATTTTTGGACCTCCACATAAAGAGAGAGCTTCAGCTTCAGCTTCAACTCCAGCCACAACAATCATTGACACTTTAATTGAAGAACAAAAGAAATGGAAAAA